ATAGAGGGAGAGGAGCAAAACTGAGTGAGAGAGGGAGGGAAAGTGGATGTCCGTAAATATCACAGAAAGAGGGAGAATTAATGAGTGGGGAGGGATAAAGAAGTGATCTGGGCTTAGCAGCTCAGACAAGGCTGAAATGAAGACACCCAAACTGGGGATCGCTGTGCTCTTGCGGTGAAGTCACACTCTTGGAAGGCTGAATTTGGCAAGGGAAGCTTTTCTTCCTGTCCCAGGTGAGCCAGACATTTGACATCACCATAAACGCCGTGGATGACTCCTTGCCCATCGTGCAAATCTTTGGGATGACAGTTCAGGAAGGGGTGAGAAAAACCATCACGGAGTTTGAGCTCAAAGCGACAGATGCTGACACAGAGGTAAGGCAGGACCACCCCCAGCCTCCTTGCTCCCCTCTTGTGCTGCACATCTGGGCTTGTGTTTAAAGACTTAACGCTGAATTTATGCTCAGCATGGATGGAAATGGCACTTCCTCTTCTTCCTGGGTCTGGCCAGAGGCTGAGCTGTCGAACACTGGCTCTATCTCACTGCTGTTTCCCCTGCAGCAAGAGATCTGGCTGCCTGAGCCAAAATCCTGCCCCAAAGGTTTTTGCCCTGACAGAAGTGGCAAGGGACACACTGCCCGGAATGGCTGCAGGACTGGGGGCTGCTCTTGTGTTCGTGGAGCAGGCACAGGGGTGGGTGGGAGCTGTCTCAGACCAGCTGAAGCAGGAATTCGGTGGGATGTGCCTTGTTTTATAGGGAGACACCTACAAAACAAAACCCCTTGGGAGAGGGACAAGGACAGGGCGGGGCTCAGAGAGAACCAGGAATATTCTGTGCTAACCCTTGTGTTGGGAACACCAACGCAGTGGAGCTACCTGGCCAGAATCCCTGTCCGGGCCTCCTGAGCTGGAAGGGCAGTGTCCTGAGGTCGTGTCCCCAGCTTTGCCCCTCCATGTCCGGGCACAGGTGGAGTCCCTGACGTTCGGGGCGGTGCAGCCGCCCCGGCACGGGCTTATGGAACGCAGCGGCCGCGGGCAGCGTCCTCTGCAGGCCACCACCTTCACCAGGGATGACATCACATCTACCAGAAGCGCGGCAGCTGCAGGCACCGCGGCGGCAGCGCGCTCAGGGACCGCTTCACCCTCACCGTCTCCGACGGCACCAGCCCCCTCTTCGTGGTGCAGGAGGGAGGGAAGAAGGTCAGGGAGGAGAAGGGATGGGAGGGGGCCTTGGGAGCTCACAGGGATCTGCCTCCTCTCGGGGCAGGGGGGACTGAGATGCTGACTGAATGTTCTCGGTCACGTCTTTGCTTCTTCCCCTCCCTGCAAACTCTGCCCTTGCTGCCAGCAGAGCCGAAAGGAGCCGAGCTGGTGACGTGGTGGCTGAGGCTCTGACTCGCACAGTAACCCCCGTGTCTCTGAACTGTTGTCAGGTGTGGCCCACATCATGTTTAAGGTGGAGATCGTGTCCAACGAAGACCGGGAGTGGCACGAGTCCTTTTCTCTGGTGCTGGGCCCAGATGATCCTGTGGAAGCAGGACCTAGGGACCTGCTGATTCAAGGCTGAAGTGAACCTTTAAGAAATGAGGAACAGGTTGAGTATGGAATTATCAGAGCGCAGCACAACTCGCTGCCTGTTGAGGAGGGTGAAACAGAGAAACCTTATGAATGTGATTGTTTGGCAGAACATTCTGAAAAAAGAAGGCTAGAATCGAAGTAGAAATGAAAGCCTGCTTTGAGTCATAAGATACAGAGTACTGGTTACTATATGACCAGAGAACAATAGCCTAGCCAGCTAAAGGAAAATCCCTGCTGATAAAACAATGCCCTTCTGCTGACAGAAAGCCCAAAGGCCAAGAAGCAAGGAAAGAACTTGTAAAGCTTGTAGAGCCTCAAATGCAACACTGTATGTAAAGTCTTTAGTGGGTGTATCTCATAGTGATTGGATACTGGGAATTAGAATATTCACTGTAGAAAAAGATACATTGGATTGTGACAAGAACTTTGCTCTCTTAGCTTTTCACTCTTGAACCTCTCTCTCTTAACCTCTCTCATACCTCTTGGCTCTTCTCTCTTACCCCTTTACTCCTCTCTCAGCTCCCCTCTCCCCCTCTCTTACCTCTTCCACTCTTTCCCTCTCTTACTCTTACCCTCTTGGTTTTTCCCCTCTTACCCCTCTCTTGTCTCCCCCCTCTCCTAAGCCTCCCTGGTTTCCCCCGCTCTCCCTCTGTTGCTCTTACTCCCTCCCTCCCCTTTTCCAACCTCTCCTCCCCTGCTCTCCCCCCTCCCCTGGACCACGTGGATGCCGAGGCTGGTGGTGGACACAGGTCTCCCCTCTCTTTACCCTTATAATAAACTGCTTATACCTGAACAGCTTGACCCTGGAGAAGTCGCTCACCGCAAGCAAGCATTTTACACAGCAATATCTAATCAATGATTTCTAAACATTTATCCAAGCTTAAACAGCTTCTTCCTAATTATCGCCACCTTTATAACCAGCGCTCGCTTGCCCCTGCAATACACAGGCACAGGGAGGGAGCTGCAGTTATTTACACAACAGAACAAGTAACATACCAAATTAAACACCCAGCACTATACCTCACTTTTGGAAACAAAACCTGGGCAGACACTTTAGTGTGCAAAACCCCTGTAAGAATAAAACCTGCTTTAAATATCTTAGGCATCAAGCCACAGACACGCCTATGAAATTCAGTGCAGCAGTGACAAAAAAAAGGAATTATTTCCTTAACCTGTGAATAATCACCTCTAAGATTCTGTGATGCAGTTGCCACTGCACACAGCCACAAGCGGCCTTTTTATTAACACGCAAAAGAACAAAGGCAATCCCACTTTCTCCCTTTTTGTCTGCAAAGAAACAGAGACGGGAGAGATGGTTCTCAGAGGAGCATGGTAAAAAGACACATGGTGTAGAATATGGAACAGCTGGTGGTTCAGCATCTCTTCCACTGCAAGATCCAGGGGATAGCTGATGATACCTTGGAGGCAGGAGTCACAAAAGCTGCCGGAGAAGGAAGACAAAGGAGCTCAACGCTATCTGCTCTTACGTTTTAGCACTGTGACCTTTACCTTAACTTACAGTTAAGTGTTTCTGACAGTGTAAATCCCTTTTGTTTTGATTTTAACAGAGTGCAAGAATTCAGTGATGAAGTAACAGTGGCATACAGCCTTTCATTTCCCCTGGTCCTCTCACCCAGCAATGAGGTCTCACAACAACAATACAACAATGAATAGTTATAGAAGGTAACTCACTGTGCTGAAGAGTTCTTCAGAAGGATGGGAGCCACAACTGAGGCAGATCCTTGGACAGACAAGCCAGAGGTGTTTAGGCCTTGCGTTTCCTCGTTACCCCAGAACCAGCCTCTAAAGGGGAACACAAAGTTCACAGGCTTGTATTTGGAATTAACGCCATATAAAGAACAAAACATCCTAAAAAAGCTACATATCATACAAATAAACCAGCTACCTTCTTTATGCCGCTTTTCTGTGGAGCCACAACTTCACAGAAGTAGATCTTGTTCTATCAATACAATGTTTTATTATTGATGGGCTTGTTGAAATCAGAGTGAACTCCAAGCACCCAGATATTCACAGAAGGCAAACATCTCTCTGAATACAACTGAAAAGGCCAGAAGGGCTGCTCCATGTTACCTCCGATAGCCACGTTTGTCTCTAGAGTACATCAGATGATCAATGCACAGCCTTGAATCTATTTTTTTTCCCCCTGTGTTCCTCCTTTCCATCCTTCTGCGTAGCCTTGTAGCAGATAAATCTGTTCAATAAAGGGCCCAGCTGACTGTGAGCAGAAGGCAAAGCAGAGGATTTGTCAGCATGAAAACCCACACTGCAAAGATGAACGAGCATCAGGGGCAGTTAAAAATCTGCTAGAAATTAGTGCTAATGTCACACTACCCTCTCTTCCCTGTTTTCCATATCCAAAAGGAAAGGAAGTTGTGTGTGAGCCAGAAAAGCTAAAAGGGTAGGGCAATGTGCTCACCTGCCATCCCACACAGCTGGGTGTGACTTAATGCACCAAACACAAGGGAATCGTTGCCAGCTGGGCAATAGACACCACGAAGCACACAGGTTTTAAGAGCTGTCAGCAGCTGCAAGGGGAGGATTGCCTCCGAGAAACATACCAAAACAATGAAAATTTAAAAAAACCAAATTAACATCTATTTCCACCACACATGTTTAAATTTATATACTATATTCATTTATATATGACACGCAATATATAAAGTATCAAAATATATTATGTTAATGTGTATACGTATGTTATTATATATTAAATATATTATATACATTTTAATGATATATATTTATTATATATATAATACATATATTAAATAAATATAAATAATATATATTAAATATAAATCTGTATATATTGGCATTACTTATATATCTTTACTTTTCTGTTTGCACATATGTCGATATCTTTATATATTTAATATACATTTCTATGTTTTTATTTTTGTAGTATTTATTTAAAAGCCCCGAAGCTAACCTAATAAAAACCAAACAGTCCCTTTATATTAAACGGTATTTAAAAATATTTTAATATATAATTTTTATCATATTTATATACCTTGTTGATATACATAACACATAACATATCCTAAAAGATATCATATTACCATCTATACGTACAGAAAACATATTATAGATTATAAATCAATATATATGTATATATTTCTGTTACTTATTTTTACACCTACATATATATATATATGTCTATATATATATATTTCTCTATACCTTTATATATTCATTCTTTAAATATTTTATTTATTTGTATTTTTCTTATTTATTTAAAAGCCCTGCCTCTAACTAAATAAAAACCAAGCAGCCCCTTTATCTTCAATATTTTTTAATATCTATTTTGATCATCTTTATACTTACAGGTATATACTCGGTTGATAACCTGCCCCCGCCCCACCCACCGCTCTCACTGTTCCGGCACACAGACCAGCCGCCTCCTCGGGCTGCTTTGGTCCCAGGGCCGGGGAGCGACCGTTCGGTCCCGATGCCATTGGGGTTTCCGCCATTTCCCCGGGCCGTGGGGGAGAGAACGGAGCGAGAGGAGCGGCAGCAACGTACGGGTCGTCACGAGTGCCAGAAGCCCCAGAACATGGCCGCGGCAAGGACCCCGGCAGAGAGAGGCGTCTTCACCGCTGCCTCTCGGCGCCCGACCGGCTCGCGCCTGGCCCAGGCACTGCCAAGCACACAGCCCGTGTCCGCACGGCCGGAAAAGCCACGGAAAATTGTGCCGGAGCAGCGTCGGCGCCGGGGTGTTTGTCAGGCAGTCGAAAGCATGCACCCACTGCCCGGGGTCCTTCCATTTTCCCGCCTTTTTGGCCGCCATCTTTGGAAGGTCAAGACAGCCATGACCGGGCAGCCATCTTGTGTGTGTCATGACATCACTTCCGCCCTTCCTCGCCACCATCTTTGTTGTGGCTGAAGCCACTTCTGGCTGAGCGGCCATCTTTGTTATGGCACAATTAAGGCCCCCGCTGCTCTCAGCACGTCTAACTTGTGTGAACGAAAAACCTGCCGACGCCGACCGATTCCGAGCACTCCGCCCGATTTTCCGCCGCCTTTCCCGGGGCGAGAATGATGGCAGCGGGGCTCAGTGGCTCCGTAGCTGGGTGGCGGCCCCGCCTGCGGCGGCAGGCATTGGAGTCAACGCCTCTGCTGGGGTCCTCCCGGCCGGCTCCTGCGGGGTGGGGTCCCGACGCAGCTCCGCTCGGTTCGGCTCTTTCCAGCCCGCTTCGGCTCGGCTCGGGCCCGCACGCTTCGGCTGGGCTCGGCCCCGCCCGGCCCCACCTGGCTAGGAGCACAGCTGCAGTACCGCTCTGTGCCCACAAGGCAACAGCACTGCCGCACAGCTCAGCCTGGGGTGGGCGGGGGGGCGCCCCAGCACGTGCAGAGAAGCGAGGCAAGAAACCACGTGTGCAACCCCCTTCCAAAAACTCCTCTCCAAGGAACTCCCCCAAAAACCCCCGCATCGAAACTTAGCAAGCAAGCCCTGCCGCTAACCAAATAAAAAACAAAATACCCCCTCATTTAATTGTATTTAATATTTATTTCTATCATATTGATCTATATTTATACACATAGACATAATGCATAATCAATATAAAAATTAAAATATAAATAATGTAAATATTTATATATATTTATATATAAATATAAAATGAACGTCTATCCACATATTTTTCATATTGAATATTAATCTACTTGTCTAGTTTTAGATTACTTGTATTTATTTGTTTTTATTTCAATTTATATATATATAGCTCCCTATATTTATTTCTTTTTTATAGATGTGTATATTTTCATTTCTATATTAATCATTGAAAAGCCCTGCATCTCAGCCTCTAACCAAATAAAAAACAATTAAACCCTTGTTTTACATGTTTTTAATATCTATTTCTATAATATTGATCTTTTATATTTGTACACACAGATACAATGCATAACAGATATTAAAGTAGATCACCATCTATCCCTATAGTTTTCATACTGATCATTAATTTACTTGTCCAGATTTGGATTACTGGAATTCATTTCTTCTTTTATGGCTCTATCTATCTATCTATCTATCTATCTATCTATCTATCTATCTATCTATCTATCTATCTATCTATCTATCTCCCTATATTTATTTCTTTATTATAGATGTGTATATTTTCATTTCTATATTATTCATTTAAATGCCATGCCTGTAACCAAATAAAAACCAGTAATTCCCTTGATTGAAAGATTTATAATATCTATTTCTATAATATTCATTTTCTTCA